CATATATACCGCAAAATATTTGTTAACAGCACTTTTTGTAGAGACAGAAAAATTGGAAGTGAAGTAGATGCCCATTGATTGGGGAATGACTAAATGAACTGTGGTACAGTACATGAACATAATGAAATAATAAATATGATGAATAAAAAGGAGTATGGAAAAAAATTTGGAGAAGGAAATGGTGAACCACTCTAGTGTCTTTGCCAAGAAAACCCTCAGTGGAGTCATGAAGAATCAGACATGACTGAAACAACTGAACAGCAACAAATGGAAAATTTTAAACAATTTGATGCCAAGTGACATAAGCAGACCCAAGAAACACAGTATACACAATGACATCAATTAAAAGTGAATGTTGTAAAATTAAAAAGAACGGTCATGGCCCCGGAGAAAGATATGAGAAGATAACACCCATTCTACTCTTGCAGAGGTGGGAGGTATGCGGGCATGGAATATTACATCTATTTTCAGACTTTTTTGATTTGATGAATCATTCGGCTGGTTTTTCTTTTTCGTCATCTTTTTCTCTTTAAAAATATTTGTTATGTGGATTGGCTGTCGGAGCGGAGAGGGGATAGGATACTGAGAGAAAGTCTGGTGATATAAAAAAAGCAAACATCAACAGAAACGTATTTTAAGAATATTAAATGGAAATAATAAAGACAACAAAAAAGTCAAAACTAAATGTGAAATTATAATCACAAGACTTTGCCCTCAAGAAGAAAGAAGAGAATGCACCTCCATCCGTTCTTTTTAGGCATGGTGGTCTCTGGATTGAAACAGTATATAGCTGTTGGACTTGATTGGTGTGGTTGGTTGGTTTTGCTAAATTGCTTTTTTTCTAAACTTTAAAAAAGTTTCCTGTTATAAAAGATGGGTAGGCAGTAGTAGGGGGATATGTTGGGGAATGAAGTAATGTGAAACCAAAAGATTATTTTAAAAAATTTTAAGCGTATAATTCTGTAGCACATACACACAAAGAAACTAGCTATATAACCATGGGCAAGTCAGTTAAATTTGCTTCCTCCTCTGTAAAATGGGCATATAATAATCACAGGGACATATTAAAAAAAAAGTATACACCTTGATGCATTATGTGGATGTGATTATTATTGATAATGTCATTATTTTAGCTGGCCTAAATGGAAAGGGGAGTTTGGGGGTTCTGTGATCTCTAGGGGGCAGATTGAACAGCTGGAGCTATCAGAGAGTTAGAAACTAGGAATCATTTTTGACTACTGTTTCTTTCTTAGCTGGGGTATTTCCTTGGACTAGGAAGTGCAATATAAATTACAGTTCACTGAGGGTGAAGAGAAGGAGAAAAGACACACACAAGCACCATAGGGTATATTTCAACTGGTTTTAAATCTGTGATATGACAAATCACCCCCAGGTGAGTAGAGCAGGGAGATGCTGACACCCTCCTCTGATAAGACAAGCAACAAAACCCTACCTGTATTTCATTTCACTGCATTACCCAAATTCTTATCTGTGCAAAAGACACAAGAGAAGGAGATGGAATGTCATGTATGGAATGATGTAATTGCAAGAGAGTGGGTAAAGAAGAAAGGAAATTTAAAATAAGTCTAGAAAGATAAGTTTGAGTCAGATTATTAAGGGATATAAATGATGAATAGGTGTGTGTGTATTTTATCCTAAGCAGTAAGGAACCACTGAAGCATGTTGAATTGGGGAGTTACATAGTCAGGCCTGTGCATTAGCAGTAGTACATTAGCAACCATTTGTAGTTTGGATAGAGGAATGAAGCAGGGAGTCTGCGTAGGTGATGATGAAGGCCTAGACTAGGGTGGTAGCCATTGGAATGTTGAGAAGGCAGGTGAATGAAGACAAGTGTGCAGGTAGAATCAATAGTTTGAGTTTGGGGAGTGAAGGAGAGTTGCAGAGCTGAGGATGACTCTGAGGTTGTGAACCTTAGTTGGAAATGGTGGTGTGCTTGTCAGAAATAGGCAATTTAGAAAGAAGGGCACTGTTTGGCCATGTTTCAGAATGGGACGTTGAAGTGAAGTTCCCATGCAAACAGTTGGTGATGTGAGCCTAGAGCTCAGGTGAGACATGGTGGCTAATAATGTAGATATTGGAGTCACATATGTAGAGATAGTTGAACTCATAGAAACTGATGAGATCATCAAAAGGTAGTATAATTTAGAGGAAAAAGGGCCCAAGACACAGGCCTAAGGTATACTTACATAGAGGGGATGTTGATTAAGCAAAGGAGATTGAGGAGTAGTCGGATGGATGGGTGAGAACCAAAAGGGAGAGGTATATAAGACTCAGAAATTCAGTTTTAAGCAGGCTGAAGGAAAGGTCACTGGAACAACTCCTTTTTTTTTTTTTTTTTTGCTGAATTACAACACAGTCCTACAAAACTAGCTTGTCATTGATAAGTTATGTTGATTATGAATGTTGCAGGAGCATAGTAACCAATTGCTATCATAAATATTTGAAACTGAAAAATCAAATGGTAAAAATATTTAACATTCGTACATCTCTCTAGTTTACGTCATGTTCACATATATTATTTGATTTCTGCAACAGTGGCAGCTCACATTTAGCTCCCTATTTTACAAGTGAGACGGAGCTTAGGTGACTTCACCAAGGTCACACCTGCTGTTAAGGGGCAAAATGGCATGGAAACTTAAGACTTCTTCCTAATTTAGTAGTGTTCTAATAATAATAGCTAGTCTTCTTAGAATAATAACTTATAGTATTCATTGATATTTTTATTACAGCTGGCTTTATGTACACTTTAAAGTTTGAAAATCACTTTACGTGTGTAACTCATTTGATCTTCACAGCACCCCGTAGGGTAGGTACTGTTATTACCCTCATTTTTTACTTATGAGGAAACTGAGGCACAGGGAGGTTAAAGTGGCCTCACCAGGGTCACACAACTAATATGTCTGAGGCAGGATTCAAACTCAAGTCTTTCTGACTCCAAGTTCTGGGCTTTATCCATTGTGCCACCTAGCTATATTAATATTAATGAAAATCACCAGTGCCTATAGCATCTAATCACTCCTTTGGAGGGCAGAAGTGTAATTTTAAAAATCTCTTTTATTCCTTCTGTAACACATGTTTACTGGGGATTTGCTAATATTACTTGAGCAGTATGGTTCTGAAAATATTTTTTGTCCATAATAATGATCTTGAAGGTGGTAGTCTTTCTTAGGCGATAGAATGCATAGATTTTACTGTTAGTGAATTGAATATTTTGGAATGTAGAGGGATACTTTTTTGAAGAATGTGGCTTGAATTGGTTTCTCCATTTGGAAAACAGAATATGTGTCAATTTCATCATGCCGTTGTAATAAATGAAAAAAAGCCAAACATATAGGGGGTTTTTTTCATTGTAGGTTAGGAAGATCTAAGTTCTATTATACCTATTCTCATTTTGCTGCAGAGACAGTAGTTTTGAGTGTAGAGACTTTAACAGTTAACCTTTGAAAATATACTTAAAATTTTAGTAAAAAACCGTGTTTTAAGTGAGAACATGTCAATCAAAAATACAGTAAAACCTGGTGGATTGTTGGTTCAGAATTTCTGACAAACCCAAGTGTTTTTCCTAGTTCAAATTAATAGTTTATCTGATGTGGCTGAAAAAATCACAAAATTGGATTTTAAAAATAAACAAAATCAAACTTTTCAAGTACTTGAGAAGCACCTATACATATATATATAATTTTTTTTTTGCTTTTATATCTCTGTATTTCCCAAATAAATCTTTTTCCAATCCCCCCTACTCAGTGAGTCATCTCTGATTACAAAGAATAAAAGTAGAGGAGAAAAAATTAAAAACAACACATCAGTCTAGTGTGATAGTATAGATAGTATTCCATGCATGTAATACCCATTTTAATGTAAACCATTGGTAAGCTAATTACAAATCAGTTTTAATTCCTTTAATTAGGTCCCCTTCTTTGTCAGGAAGAAATTTTTATGCATTTTTGAATTATTGAAGACCTTCTGAAACAGACTTTCTTTAATGTTCTTCTGAAGTTTAGAATTTTCATGCCTCTCATTTAATCTGAAGTTGTGAACTTTTATTGTATTGCAAAATCATACTTTTAAAAAATTACAGGTTCTCTGGGGTTAAAATTTTCCCTTTTATGGTCTATTAATTTTGAGATTACTTAGTTAAACTAAGGATTCAGGGCAGTGTTCCATCTTGAAAACAACCCCATTAGTTTTCCCTACCAAAGTAAGAACTATAAATAAGAGTCCTTAAGCAGTTTTTTAACATCCTTCCTGAAGTTTGAACAAATAAGATAAACATGTCTTGATTTGAATATAGAATGAGTCAAATAAGTATGTTTCATAATATAAACTATATAGTTTAAAATTAAAGTGTATTAACCTGTAATTGAACTTTTTATTTTAAAATTATTCTGTTTATTTCAGTTTGATACTGTTCTGAAAGAGTGTATTTAAGCATCCCATTAAGGATAAGTTGTAATTTAGAGCATGATTATTTTACCTTAAAAATTTTTTTTGTAATGAGAACTGCACGGTTTGGCTGGGATGGCCCATAAACCTACAAGTCCCTTTGGGCAGCAACTGTCCACAAACCGAGTCAACCAAAAATGTTTAATTCAAATCAGAGATTTCAGTGAAGATTAAATCCTGTGACCCTTTTAAAATACAGCTTAAATTAGGGTATAAGTCACCTGTCAGTATGCTTTTGTACTGGTTTTTTGGATTTAGTCATGTTTGCCATTCATCCATTTAGCCTCTTTCTTTGACCCCAGTGAAATGGGAGGTCGTCTTTAGCAGCCATAAGAGATCTCATAGGACTAACAAATCTTCTTTCTTAAGTATTGCTAGTAACCACTGTAAGGTTTTAAAATTTTTTGACTCTGAGGTGTTTTGAAGGAATGTTAGGGGTTTTTTTGTGTGTGTGCTAAAGGTAGTTTTTCTTTCTTGCTTGAATGTCTGATTTTCTTGAGGACATTTTATCCATTTTTTCCCTCCTTTTCTTTCAGGAATATGGTCATGGCCAACAGGGAAAAACTCCAGAAGGAGAACTGAAAATTAGTGCTGTTTTTTCAGTCAGTGGCAGTCCCCTTGGTAAGAAGCACAAATTTGTAAGTTATCCACTTACCTATTCCTATGTGTATCAGGACACATATCTTCTTGTATTAGTGATGTAGACAGTAATGTCTAATCTTTAGCACCATTAATTACAGACTACATAATTTATGTTAGATTTCAAGATGGAGGAGATTGGAGCTGAAAGAAAAATAGAATATATGTACTTAATATTCATGGTAAATACCAAAACCTTTTTCCCCCTTCCTGTTTTGTTTTTTATAGCTCCACAATTGACAACAGGCTTTCAGCCTTCTCTGGCATCCTCTGGCATGAACAAAATGCTTCCCTCAGTTCCATCCACAGCTGTTCGGGTTTCCTGTTCTGGTTGTAAAAAAATCCTGCAGAAAGGGCAAACGGCCTATCAGAGAAAAGGGTCTACTCAGCTCTTCTGTTCCACACTGTGCCTCACTGGATACACCGTTCCATCTGCCCGCCCACCAGCCCCTACCAAGAAAACCTGTTCAAGCTGCTCAAAGTACAGCCGAGATCTCAATTCTGTTTCTTGTTTATTCATTTTCTCTTTCATACAGAGTTCTTCTCAGCATCTTAGGGTTCAATTTTCCAACTTTCCATCTTTGGGACTAAATATTCTGTCAGTCCAGTATGAGCATGATGGCCATGCCTTTCACTTTCCCTAACACATTTATTACTTAATCATAAATAGCTTCTTTGCTAATTAAGAATTCTGCAGGTTTTTTGTTTTTCTTTCAAATTCTGAGGAACTTAGTTGTCCCTCCACTGTAGATAGTCTGACTTTACAATAGCTGAAACCACTTGTATCCTTTTAATTTACTCTAAGGAAACATCCTCTAATTAGGGAATTGTAATATTTTAACTTAAAAACTAGGTAACAATTCCTAATATTAAATTTATTCTAATAATGATAGACCAAGTATTGGCAGGTAACAAAATAATAGAAAACCTGTGATGGTAATTGAAGGTGTATTAATGCCTTCTGCAGAACCCATTGTGGTCGTAAATTTATTTGTTTATCTTTACAACATTCTTATATAACTGAATTCAAGGGGCAGCTAGGTGGCGCAGTGGATAGAGCACCGGCCCTGAAGTCAGGAGTACCTGAGTTCAAATCCGGCCTCAGACCAAACACTTGACACACTTACTAGCTGTGTGATCCTGGGCAAGTCACTTAACCCCAATTGCCTTAAAAAAAAAAAGGTTTATAACTGAATTCAGCTGGGTAGGAAATGTGATATAGTAGAAGGAGTACTGGATTTGCATTCAGGGCCAAATCTTAAAACCTAGTTCTGCTACTTTATATCTTTATGACCTTGGACAAGTTTCACTTTTCTCAACTTCAGTTTCCTCATCTCCAAAATGAGGGAGACTGGATTAGTTGGTAAAAGGACTGATCTACCTCTAAATCTGCGATCCTCTTGGACCTTTCTTGCATAAGTCAAGAAACTTACGTGTAGAGAGAAGTTATTTGTCAATCACTCAATGAATAAAGATAAAACTTAAGATGATTTCACTTCTATACCACAAAATGAGATTTGGAATATTGAGGCTAATAAAAATTGTATATTAATTTAGGACTACAATGTGATATGGCAGTTTCCTAAACTAGTAGAGAATTTCTTAAACTAAAGGCCAGAGGAGAAGTATTTTAGAAAAAGATAATACACAAATACTTCTGCCTGTGCTGATTTGTTAAGACATTTAAAATCAGTCGTATTTTCTTAAGATTGATAGGGGCATCTGTACCTAAAATGGATGCTACTGTCTTCAGTCATTGGTAAGGAGAGGGAGGTCTCCCTCTGTTGGTGCGTTTTGGAAAAAGCTCGTCTATATAAGAAAGTTGAATTTTTCCTGTCTTTGATAGATATTCTTACATGGTTTTGTTTTTTCAAACTTGGGAAACAGTGTACTTATAAAAACATTTCTTTTTGTATCATTTCCATGGAACTAAACCAAAAAGGAAGATTTTGGGTTAATCTTTTAGGGAGCCTTCCATTGGTTTGATGCATGAAATTTTTTTAAATGTGTATTAGAAATGGCTGTTTCATTTTGAGTGGGATTTAGACCTCTTACTCAAATAAAAACTCAGAGGTTTCTCCAGGTAGAAAACAGAAGTTTTATTCTAACAAGTCTTGCTCGAGAGTTGGGCATCACCTACCCAGGGCGGACTGGAGTAGTGAGGCCCAGCACAAACAGCAGCAAGCAGTTATATACTCTTAGACAAACCACTCCAAAAAGCCCCCCATCCCACTTGTTTGTCTCAGTCTCTTTATCTTCATTGGCTGAGGCAAGAGACCTCGCAGTCTGTATTTAGAACCCAAGAAATACATTTTACTCAAAACACACTTGGGAGCTAGAAGATTGCCTTATTTGGTAAAGTTAAGATACGGAACAAAAGAGGGGGTGGTTACAAAACAAGGGAGGGGGCGGGCAGCGGGTGCATAGCCCCCATTCCCCAAAAACGAAAGTGAAACTTAGGCCCAGCTCAAAAATGCTGAAGCCTCACTACATTTTGGAGCATAGCTCACATTTCACATGAGAAACTTTCACTTGTCTCACATACCTTTTCAAAAAAAATGTAAATTGGCTATACATTTACTTCAGTAACATTACCATTGCGCTAAACAAGGAACTGCTGTTTAGAGCATGTATTGTGTTGCTTTGGATGGTTGTGGTGGTAGCAATTTTTTTTCCTTTAGGGGTAGAGATTTTTAAAAGTCAGAAATAATTTGGAGCCAGTTCTTATGAATAAAATAAGTTGACCTGTAAGCTTAGCAATACCCACTTTTGGTCCAAAATTTGATGTGATGGGAAAAACGGGATTGAGTTCCCTGTAATGGTTTAAAAATTGGGCCTGAAATAAGTTGCAAAATCTTTTGCATAATGGTAGCATTGTTCCACTTGTTGTGGGCCCTCCTAGGGTGAATAATTTTAAGGACAATGGCCATAGAAGGAGTATAGTCTTGTATGTTTGTTTGAAATACCAGTTTTGTTGCTTCATGGTCATACAACACAAAAAAAAAATACATAGATTTGTAGGATATAGTGTTGGAAGGGATGTAATGGGTCATCTAGTCTGACATACTCTTTATACAGATGGAAAAACTGAGGCTCAGGATAGTTAAATGTCTTTTGTAGAGGCATTCTATGAATACATTTTAGAGTGAGGAATTATTTAATAATAATTATAATTATTATATTTATATTATATATTATAATAAAATAATACTAATTTAATAATAACAGTAATAACTTGCTTAGCCATGTCTGGTTCTGAAGCAGTTTACCCTGCAGCATGTGTGCATCTGTGACTAGGACTATATCTCATAGTTGGTTCTCGTCAGCGGCTAACTGCCTCTGACTTAATGTGCAAATGAAAAGGTACCAAAACTGAATCATCAGGACCAAAAGGTAGAGGAGGAGCATGTGCTTTTCTCTTGTATTGTTGTGTGACTCCTGTATTAACTTGTTTTTTACTTACTCATAGAACAGAATTTCAGAATTGGAACAGAACTTAGAAATAATCTGCTTCACCTCCTTATAAGTACAGAAACTGATTGAGATCCAAGGAAATAAAAATGACTTGCTCAAGGTCATATATAGTCAGACAGTGGCTGATTGGGAAGAAATAGGAGTATCTTGATTTCTGATCTCCAGATTTAGTTTATCAAATAATAATGAAGATTGTTTTCAAAATCGACTTTGGGTTGTGTGTACACATCCACTTGCCTAGTTTTTTATTACAAGAAATTTACTCTCAGATTTTTTCCTTTCATAATTTGTCACTAAATCCCATTGGTTTTTCTTTACATTTATGTTTTTTATACTTTATCCTTCTTTTGAAAAGCAACACAGTGTATAAAAATTGGTTGCTAGAAATAGTATTAGACTCATGGTTTGATTCTTATCTCTGCAATTTAGTTTTATAGCCTTTGGCAAGTAACTACTGAGACTCAGTTTTCTAATCTTTAAAATGAAAATATTATTTGTATTATTTGCCTAATGAGTTTGTTGGAGCCAAGATAATTTCCTGACCGTAGAATACTATATGTTTTATTGGTTTTGTTTACCTAATCAATCTTTGGATTATTAAAAAAAAAAAAGGTATGGTCTTAGAACAAAGGAAATGGTAGTCTTCTTTTTCTTTGTTAGTAACAGTTGATATAAAAGTGCAGTTCATGTTACCTTTTGCCATTTATTGTATTTCAGACATACAAAACGATTTGTTTGCTGCCCAGTTTGACAGTACAAATTCTAGCAAAGATTTTTGTGGCCTAGCATAGTTTTGTCCAGTTAAATCTCTGGACTATTACATACAGATAAGCATATAGATCACATTTTAGGAAATATATTTACCAGGTATTGTGGATTCTAAGGAAGAGTCTGATGAAAAGACTGAGAACACAGTATGTAAAAGGAACTGAGAATGTTTATTCTAGAAAAAAGACTTGATTTCTATCTATAGTACATAAAAGTTTGTCACATGTAAGAGGAATTACAATTCATTCTGCTTAGTGTCAGAGGATAGAACTATACTGTCTATTCATAGATGGAAACTAAGGAAGGACAGTTAACAATTCAAGTTGTCTGAAAATGGAATAGCATAGATTGTGAAGGTCCCATTGCAGAAATTGTTCAGGCAAAGGCCTGGTGACTACTTAAGACTAGTAGTAATACTAACACTTGTGAGGGATGTCCTGAAGAGGGTTCCTGCTTCAGGTAAAACACCAAACTAGGGGGTCTCAGAAATCCTTTCCAGTTCTGAGATCTTATGGCTTTAGTTAATATTTTCTTAAGTATTCATCCATTTTCTTAAGTATTCATCCACTGAAGACAAGTTTTAGTGCTAAATTTACTTTATGATATATGGTCTTTGGGAGGGAAATTATAGCTTTGACTTTTATAGAGATACACAGAATGTTTTGTTTTAAATTTTTGTCCACCTCTTGCTTGGTGTTTCTTTTGCTCATCTAGTCTTCCTTTCCCATATTTTGTCCACATATCCCATGTGCTCATCGTCTCTGCTTACAACTAGCTTGGTTGGTCTTTTTTTTTTTCAAACTTTCATAGACAATATAGCATCTTATCTCCCTCGTGACTTGGTGTAGTTCTTTTCTCTCTGAAGCTTTACTTTCTTATTCTCTGTCCTCTGTTGTCTCCTCTCCTTCCAGATTTACCATATGCTTCCCCGTCCATTCTCTGTGCATACCTGCCATGAATGCCTCTCTCCCATTGCCTTTTGTCTTAATTACCAACCATATTATTAGCCTAACATTTATATTCTTAGATCCCTTTCTTCTTCTTCTTTTTTAGTCATTTTTTTTTAAGTGAGGCAGTTGAGGTTAAGTGACTTGCCCAGAGTCACACAGCTAGGAAGTATTATGTGTCTGAGGCCAGATTTGAACTCAGGTCCTCCTGACTCCTGGGCTGGTGCTCTATCTACTGTTCCAGGTCCTTTTCTTCTAACCTAATTGTTTCATGATCCTTTTCTCTTTCTGCCCTTATTTCTTCTCACCCTTCTTCTCAGCTCCCTCACCATGTTCATTGCCATCTTGTTTTGGTTGTACATCCTCTTTTGGCTCCTTCTTTCTTATACTGCTTATACTCTTTTGTTCTGCTTGACTTCTTTTGTTCTTATTTAATCCCAATTCAGTATTTCACCACCATTTCTCCTAGTCTTTTCTCTCTACTGGCTTCTAGGGTGGCTGAAACCATTAGTGCAGGTGAGATACCTGAGCATCCAACTTTAGAACATGTGAGTTGGAATAGACTTTAGTCTATCTACTAGTACAATTTCCTTATTTTATAGTTGAGGAAACGGGCCTGGTAAAGTTATTGGGTTTGTTCAAGGTCATGTGACTAGTGCAGTTGCAGGGCTTGCACACTAATATTCTGTTCTATTTATCTCAGACTGTAGGATGGAATTAGTCTATAAATCCTTCTCAAATCTACAAAAACTTCAATTTGTGAGTTATGAATAGGAGTGAGAAAAGAAATTCCTTTGCCTCATTAGAGGCAATCTTCAAATCTTCTTTGCCCTCTAAATGAGTTATTTTTATGGGCCATTGGAAAGACAGCATTATTGTTAGTGTTGGAAGAAGTTATTAGTTTGTCAGAGTAACAGCTGTGTTTTTTTTACTTGGACCTCAAGATTTTTCTGCTCTTCTTTATTTATCTTTATTGATATTTGAGGTCTTCCAATCTGCAGCATTCATCAGATAGTCTTTTTTAAAAATATATTAAATTGTATGAAATTGTAGCCTTGTTATGACATATAACATTCTAAGTTTTTTACATGAGAATTTTAAAGATAAGCTTTTAAGTCTTTTTATAATGGGTTGCTTTTGAGAATTAGGTATCAAAAGAAGTTTCATCTCTGAATCTTGGTATAGGCTGAGCAGTTACCATCTCACTCATTTTGAATTAAACTTTTTGTTACTGTTTTTATGTTGGAACCACACAAAAACTAGGAAATTTGCCCCCAGACATTCTTCAAAGGCTGAAGGACATATTCTAAATGTTCGTGTATTTTCTTCATAAAAGAGTTTCTGAGGTCCTAATTCAGAGCTTGATACCCTTGCAATAGATGATTCTTATAAAGTTTTTAATATTTCCTATCTCACTGCCAAGTAGAGTGGAGTTATAGGCATAGAAATGTCTGACAGTTACTCAGCAGGCATATATTAAGTGCCTACTGTGTGCCAGGTATTGTTTTAGGCCCTAGGATATAGAGAAAGGAGACATAAAAACTATAAAGACTTAAGAGCTCTCAAATGACATATCTGGGTCAGGTTAATATAAGGGTTCTTATGCTAGGTTCACTGACTCATGACTCATAGAAGCTAAATTACCTTCAGCTTCCTTTAAAAAAAAGAAGGAATAGGAGCAGCTAGGTAGCGCAGTGGATAGAGCACCCAACCTGGATTCAGGAGGACCTGAGTGCAAATTTGGCCTCACATGCATAAGAACACTTACTAGCTGTGTGACCCCGGGCAAGTCACTTAACTCCATTGCCTAGCCAACAAATAAATAAAAGAAGGAAGGAAGGAAGGAAGGAAGAGCATCCATGTGTACCCGCATATAGGAGGTGCTCAATAAATGTTTGTTGATAGTTGCTATTTTTAAAAAATTTTGATGCTGGAAGGAATAATGTTTCAGGTGTCTGGGGGAAGTACTGTCCAGAATTATTCATTCCTTGAGGGTTCTGAAAGCCTAGATTTTATTACATTTTGAGGTTGTCATTTGTAAAGTATTTCAGTGTTTCTTTTACATTAAAAGTAATGTAATTCTACTTTCATTCTAGTAGTGCATTTCATTAAGTTGTCGTTTCAATACACAGATAGAAATAACAATTGTGATAAAACAGCAATTCATATTTTTTCTCATTATTTTTTAGAGATATTTTAAATCCAAAGGATGTGATCACTGCCCAGTTTGACAATACAAGCTCTAGCAAAGATTTTTGCAGCCAATCATGTCTATCTACGTATGAATTAAAAAGAAAACCTATTGTTACCATACATACTAATAGCATTTCAACCAAGTGCAGCATGTGCCAGAAGAATGCAGTTGTAAGTTATATTTAGAACTTGCTGAAATTCTGTTTAAAGTGGTTAGACTTCTAAGTGACACTACTTACTGTGGTTTTTCATTTCTAGATTCGGCATGAAGTTAATTACCAAAATGTAGTCCATAAACTTTGTAGCGATGCTTGCTTCTCCAAGTTCCGCTCTGCAAACAACCTCACGATGAACTGCTGTGAGAACTGTGGGGGTTACTGTTACAGCGGCTCAGGCCAGTGCCACCTACTCCAGATCGAGGGCCAGTCCAAGAAATTCTGCAGCTCAACATGTGTCACTGCCTACAAGCAGGTGTGTGACCATGTTTAATCTTTAATCTAGGGACCCGAAGTGACTTATTAAAATAAGACGTGCTAGCATAAGAATAAAAGAATTTTTTGTTCGTTTCAGGGGAGACTTTAAATAGTATTTAAGGAAAACTATAAAATGTTTAGGATGGTAGGTTTTTTAATATAGCTATATCATCTTTAAAAAATTTAGATTTACAAAAAAGAAATTAGAAAGTGATTATTTGCTTTACAAAAGTATTCATCTTAAGGTTTTTATAAGTAGTAAGGCTCCTGGTCATCTTGAAATACCTTTCAGTTTACCAAAATATGATTAGCATAAATTTTTTTTCAGATCCTGTTGCACAAAGTGAAACAAAGCTTTGTATAAACCTTTGAAATTTCATGCTTATGGTTGAAATACACAAAGGAAACTTCTTTTGCTTTCTCATGAAAGAAAAGTCTTCCAGAAAATAGGCCTTCATAAAATAAGACTTTAGGAACTTATAGGAAATGGTTGTTAAGGTGATACGATTAAGTTAAATAAGTTCTGAAGGTCCCTTCCCTGCCTGAGAATTTATTGGCAAATATTATTTCACATTTTGAAGAGGTATGGGGTTAAATTATGGAACAAAACTTATATTGATGACAGTTAATAATAACTAATAAATATAAAGAGGGAGAACTTAACAGCCTTGTGAAATAGCCAATTAGGAAATTTTCCCTACATCAAACCTGGTTTTGCCTCTTAGCAACTTGTACTCATCCTTCTCATTCTGCACTTTGTGACCAAGAAGAATAAGTCTGATCACTTGCCCACAGGACTGCCTCTCAGATACTTAAAAGACAGAAATCTTGTATACCCCATCTGTTGTTCTCCCTACCGCTGCCAATTATTCTCATCTTCAGACAAAACCTAACTATTTTTTCAACTGATCATGTCCTAAACCTTAAGACTCTTTTCCAAGCTAAATACCTTTTCCTGGATGTTCTGTAGCTTAATATGCTTCTTAAAATTTGATTTCTCCAAACTGAACATAATTTTCCATGTGTAACCTGATCTAGGCACTGTGTAATCACTTTGCCTTTTTTTGATTTCTATATAGTATTATTAACTCATTGATCTTATAGTCCACTAAAACCCATTAATCTTTTTTAGATAAACTATTATCCAAGGAATCCTTCCTTTTATCTAGATGTTGTGAAATTGGTTTTATGAACCCAAGTGTAAAGCGTTACTTTTATCCCTATTAAATTCATCCTTGTGTACTTTTTGGATCTTGATCTGGTCGTCTAATATATTAGCCATTCCTGCTGATTTGTGTCATTGTAAATTGGATAAGCATGCTGTTTAAGACTTTATTCAAGTTATTAAGAAAAATATTGAGCAGGACAGGGCCAAGCACTAATGCCTAAGAAGAATCTACTGGAAACCTTCCAAAGTGATACGCAGTCATTAGTGAATACTTTTCAGGTCTGTCTATTCAACCAGTTCCAAATTACCTATTATAATGTAGTCCCACATTTCCCTATCTTTTCTGCAAGAATAACATGAGAAACTTTTCCTAGATTCTTCTAGCAATTGAGGTATACTCTAACTATAGCATTTCCCTTAACAACAGAACTGAGATTCATCAGTGAGATTGGTAATTGGGATAAGGATTCTCAGAGCTCCTATATGGGCTCTTAGATATCTCTTGAGGCTATTGTCTTCTATGACAACCCTTTGAATATATCAAAACAGATTATCTCCTTTCCTTTTAAGTCTTCCAGCCTAAACATGCCAAGTTTCTTCACTTTTTCTTCATATGACAATTTTTTAAGTCCCTTTACCATCCTGATATCTTCTGAATGTGCTCTAGCTTATTGTTGTCCCTCTTAAATTACAGCTCCCAAAGCTGAACAGACATCCACCTCCCTTCTTCTAGGCACTATGCTTATATAAATGCAATTTAAATTTGCATGAAATTTTTTGACTGTCATGCTTTTTTCAGTTGTCATTCTAAAATATTAAATTAAAAAACCCATTAGGTTCAGTTAGATTTGCTTTTGAGCAATTAGTAGTACAGCTTTGTTAGTAAAATGTATCCCTTTACAGTTAATTTCTTCCTTTGGCAATTCCCTGCTCTTGCCTTTGGGAGGAATGCAGTTTACATAAAGGTGTTTTCGGTTCCTCAGAAAACAGATCTATTCTAAATGTTCTCTTAGATGTTGGATAGATTAACTAGTCTGTATTAGATCAGTGAGTGCCATTTCATTTTAGAAATATTTGTGGGCTCATTTATATGATAAAGTATGACAGTTCTCATTTTCACTGCATTTGTGTCTTCTGTACCAATGACATTTCTAAAAATGCTTCTTCAAACAGGCTTATGCTTACCATCAAACATACTTCTTGTTGTGAAACCAACCTTGAAGAATAGAAGGTTCCCACAGGGTTATTGTGTGAATTAAAAGCACTTTAAAAAAGAAAAAAGTAAAATTCCACCAACTAAGGAGACTATAAGATGTGTTAATAGCACTCAGCTGTTAATTTCTACCAAGCTATAGTAGCAATGAGAAGAGAGCCATATATTCTGATCAGTTTCCTCTTGGCTTAGTTGGTTGTCTAGATTGAAGAAAATTTATTCTAACCTACCGTATATTTTTTATAACTTACTTCATTATTGCTAATTTCTTTGAAAATGTACTTTTAATATGAATTTATTTCCTTGAGTTTGTGTGTTTACTGACATTTGTTAATACCATGTGGCATCTGCCAGAAAAGCAGAAACAAGCTGGGTTTTTATTCTGGTTAGGTTAGTTAAAATACTTTGAAGGCATTTGATAATTGGGTTTGGTTTTTTTTTTTGGTATGTCATGCATACATGTAATGGAAATTTGAAGTTGATGAATATGATTTTGTTGTCTTAATAGAAATCGGCAAAAATCACTCTCTGTGCTCTTTGCAAATCATTGAGGTCCTCAGCTGAAATGATTGAAAACACCAATAACTTGGGGAAAACGGAGCTTTTCTGCTCTGTTAACTGCTTATCTGCTTACAGAGTTAAAATGGTTACTTCTGCAGGTAATGTTGGTGCTTTAGGAAATTTACTTTGTAGTTTTAACAAATGTTGTGGTATTGCTTTATTTCTGTAATTTGGATGCAGTTCAAAAAGTAGCTATTCTTGTGATCAAAGTTTAAGTTTTTTCTATTCTGTTTTGTTTGGGTGCATATTTTAAAGGATTCTCTACCCACTTCCTGAAGGATTTGAGTTGAGGGCACTTCTTGAACATGAAAGTATTTATTTATATCCAGTTTAACTTGGGATTATTGTTTTAGTTGTGTATTTGATAGTGAGGTGAAGGAAAGCTTTAAAAGGTTGTTCCTTTTAACATTAATTTACATTTACATGTGACTTGATGGATTTTGTTCAGATCCTGTTAAGTAAATTTAGTCTGCAAATTTTATGTTAATGGACAATAGTTTATTTACTTTATATTTCACTCCCTGTGTACATGTATCTCCATTACTTACTGGTTTTATTCTAACTTACTAAGGAGTACAAGTCCAGTGTAACAGTTGTAAAACCTCAGCCATCCCTCAGTATCACCTGGCTATGTCTGATGGAAGTATACGCAACTTCTGCAGCTACAGTTGTGTTGTAGCTTTCCAGGTATGGTATAAGGACTTGCCTCTTGCCTGCATATTATTTATTGTAGCTCTGTGATTTTATTAGATGCCTTTTAGCAGAGTGAAGACTGGGTGGTAAGAGCTCCACAATTCTAGACCCAGCTCCATTCATCTTTAATTTTTCAAAATTTTTTCTCTGTCTTTATATATGCCGTTTGAAGTCTTCTAATAAGCTGGCTTACAATAATTTATACATATATATCATTTTAGAGTCACAAATCTTTTCTGTAAAGAAACTTTCTACTTTTCTCTGATGTTGAACATCTTTTTTATCTATTCATTGATCATTATTATAATGACTTAATGTTTTATACATTCTCTCTCAACATATTCATAACCCTCTGAGATAAGCAGGAAAAGGTATTTATTTCACATCTGATAAAACTGAAGTTGAGAAAGTTTGCGATTTGTCCCAAGTCACATAACCAAGTAAATGGCAGAGTCTGGACTGAAACCAAAGGTTTTTTTCTGATTCTAGTCTGGTTCTCTTCCCACTTGAACATGTAATAAGTGAGAGTTACATCATTTTTCTCTCCTTTCAGAATTTGTTCAACAAGCCAACAGGCATGAACTCTTCAGTAGTGCCCCTGTCTCAGGGTCAAGTCATCGTCAGCATTCCCACAGGGACAACAGTATCAGCAGGGGGAGGAAGCACCTCAGCTGTTTCCCCCAGCTCCATCAGTAGCTCCGCTGCAGCTGGTCTCCAGCGGCTTGCTGCACAATCCCAGCAGGTCACTTTTGCCCGTACTGTTGTGAAACTCAAGTGCCAGCACTGTAATCGACTCTTTGCCACAAAACCTGAACTTCTTGATTACAAGGTAAAGCTGCAGTTCTTAATAGATTAAATTGAATATAAATCTACTTTGGACTTTTCGTCTTTTGAAACTATTCCATTTACTTCTAACAGTAAAAGATGTACAGTATATTTGTCAGATGGAAAAAAAGAGGATTGTTTTTCATTGCAGAGTAAAATGTTTCAGTTTTGTGGCAAGACTTGCTGTGATGAATATAAGAAGATAAATAGTGTAATGGCCATGTGTGAATACTGTAAAATTGAGAAAATTATAAAGGAGACTGTGCGATTCTCAGGCATCGATAAGCCATTCTGCAGTGAAGGTAAAAAAATTCACATTCAGCCACAGGATGTCATGAAGAAACATCTGAAGATATTGTGTTAAGGGTTAATTTCCATGATATTGTTTTTATTTTATCTTGTCAGGTCAGCAAGCATTTTATTAAGTGCCTGTCACGTGCTAGGCGCTGTGTTAGGTTCTGTTGTGTGGGTATGTCTCTATAGGTTCTCACCCAGTAAATTTGTGGTGTTTTAGTGCTTATCTTCTCCATGAGGGAGGAAGGGGAAGTAGGGAGAGAATTTGGAATTCAAGAATTTTTTAAATGTGTTAAAAATTCTTTTTTCATATAAGTGGAAGATTTTAAAAAAAAAATAATTAGTAAATATTTAAAAATAAAATAAAACATTTCAAAATTGTGGCTTTTCCAATGTTTTGTATTATACACTTGGCACTGAATAGCTTTTCAAATCTGTTATTGCACACTAATTTAATTAATGTACAGTAAAGTTAATATAGATATCTTTGAGGAATGCCAATTTCTTTCAGAATTCTTTTCACAAAGTCAAATTTGTGTAATGTGAATTTACATAAAGTGAGAACTGTCTGTATGGAGTTATCAATCTAGAAATCAGAAAGGACCTTGGAATTCATCTAGTCCATCCCAAGCTCACTATATACAAAATGGAATTCATTATTTTCCCCCCAAACTCACTCACTCTTCCAAACATCACCGTCCTACCATTTGCCCAAATGTACAACTTGGTGTCATCCTTATCACTCACCTCACATATCCAGTCAGTTGCCAAATATTGGTACTTTAATTGAAAAATCCTCAAAATGTAATATAGTTATTATAGAGGCAATGTTGCATAGTAAATAGGGAGCTGACCTCGAAGCCAGTGAGACTTACTGGCTCTGTGACCCTGAATGATTCACTTAACCTCTAAATAAGTTTCTTAGAAGTTCAGAGAAGGTACTGACAAACATTGGTAGGAGGAAGTTTCATCACTCTCAAGTTACCTATACCATTGAGATCACAGGTCTAATCACTATCCCTGTATCATTTTTTTGTGGCTTTTAATTTCTTGTTTAAATGGACTCACCATGTCTTGACAGTATTTAAAATGCAAAATGTACTTCAACTTAGTGATGTATGCTGAGGGTGAGGGGTTGCGATTAACAAGAAGCTAGTGTCCACCACCATCCGAATTAAAGAAATGAACATTCAGTTTGCCTCTTTCTTTCTGTAAATGTACAAGTTTGGCTTTTCTTATTGTCTTTTTGGTTTTTTAGGTTGCAAATTGCTTTATAAACATGACTTGGCAAAACGCTGGGGAAGCCACTGTAAAATGTGCAGTTACTGTTTACAAACATCTCCCAAATTGGTACAGAATCATTTTGGGGGGAAGATGGAAGAGTTCTGCTGTGAGGAATGCATGTCCAAGTTTACAGTTTTGTTTTATCAGGTAGAGAATATTTGTGTTCTTTCGTTTTGGGAGTAGAGCATAGTTTTTATTTTCTGCTTTCTAATTCTTTGTCTAACAGGAAGAAGCATTTGTTAATTTAAAAAACTGAATGAAATGAATTTTTATCTTTTATCAGAAACTGGGTTTTGTTGTTAAGTATAAAATATTTGAGGTTATTTAATGATTCCAATAGTAAAAAAAACTATTCTTGCTTTTTCTTATGAAATATATTCACTGATTGTTGCATAGGAATTCTCAGGTTATAACTTGAGATTGGGGACCTGTCACATCAAGGATACATTTTTCTAATCATTCATCATCTCCTACAATTCCATTGCTTCCCTGTGTTTTCATTTTCCTAAACCTATTCTTCAGTCCCACCAATCTTTAGTATTTTCCTAGGCTTTGCTGTCTGCTCTGGTCACACTCTCCTTCCCATTTTTGACCCCTTAGTGATCCAATTCCGTTCTCTTCTGCTTTTGAAATCCTCTTCTTATCGTAGCTGGGTGGCACGATAGGGCATAGAGTGCTGGTCCCGGAGTAAGGAAGATTAATCTATCTGAGTTCAAATCTGACCCTAGACACTTATTAGCTTGTGACCCTGGACAAGTCACTTAACCTGTTTGCCTCAATTTCCTCATTTGTCAAATGAGCTGGGAAAATGAAATGACAAACCACTCCAGTATCTTTACCAAGAAAACCCCAAATGGGGTGGAAAAGAGTTGGACACAACTGAAGCAACTAAATAGCAATCACGTCACTATCCTCTCGTGACGCATGCCCTGCCAAATCCCTCCCTGTGTTACTGTAATTATCTGCCTCCTTCATTTCTATACATGTGCTGCTAAACCTCGCTGAAGGAAGTCACATAACCATCCTGACTGAGTTCACTACAAATTTGTTACCTAATCTCAGCTGTGTTCTTACTGAACCAACGCAGTCCTTTCACTCCTCTCTGATCGATCCTCTATGTCATGAACAGCATAGCCGTTCCAAACCTTCTCTTTTCTCTTACCTTTCACAGCATCCCACCCTCTCAGCTGAGGACCTTGCTTCATACTCTGCCATGAAGATCAAAGTCATTTGCCATAAAATCCTCTTCTTCCCTCCCCCAATTCCTCAAGATCATTCCTCAGTATCTCTAATGAAGAGATGGCTCTTCTCCTTGCCAACATCAACCCTTTTAAATGTACCCTTTTCTATCTCTACAATCAAGCTCTTGATCTTCAGTCTTAACCTTTTTTATTCCTTCTTACCTGTCATTCCCGCCCAGATCTTTTCATCCTTCAGAATCACTGGGTCCTTCCTCAGTAGGTCACTAGTTATCATTATGTATCTCTGGTGCTTTTCTCAGCCAGACTCCTTGAAAAAACTGTCTGTTCTCTTTATGGCCACCTGTCATTCTCTTGTAAACCTTCTGCTGTCTGTCTTCTGACCTCACCACTGGACTTGAAATAGCTCTTACCCATCACATCTAATGGCCTTTTCTCAGTCTCTATACTTTTTCCCATCCCTTTCTTCTCCTCAGCATTTGAAACCATCTCCAGGTCTCATTCTTTTCTCGGGGTATTCTCATAGTGTTCTTTCATGGTTCTGTTCTGACTACTTTTCTCAGTATTTTCCTACACTGTCGTCGCTGCTATTCGCAGCTGTGGTAGGTGTAGCACACCCTTAAGATTCTATCCCAAGCCCTTTTTTCCTTATATTCTCTTACTTGGTCATTTTGTCATCACACCTGGCAAATATCTCTATGCAAATAACTCCCAGATCTGTCTGTCCATTTCTAATCTTCTTTCTGATCTCTAGTACAGACAGTTCTCTCTTTAGGTAAGTGGACCATTCTGCAAAATCTCTATGTAAAATTATTTTTACATAGTGTGAATTTGCCTGCAGATGCGGGAAAGGGAAGGAGGGAGGCAGGAAGGGGACTGGCACATGGTTGAAGGACACATGGGGGCTGGGAATAGAGAAGCGAGACAGGCAAGAGAGGATGGGTGGTATGTAGGGGCAGGGGACAGACATGTGGTGCCCATGTGCAAGTGGATAGAAGAAAGACACACGGGAGGGCTAGACATATTGAGTGAGTGGGTGGAACCTAGGCAAAGGTCTCCTCTCTGACAGTGGAGGTCTCAAGTCAAGCCCCTGATCTGCTGGCATTGGCATTCTCTCAGAATGTCTTTTCTGCTTTCACTTGGAGGTTTTTGTTGTTGTTGTTGTTTGGTATTTTTTAGTGGGGGTTTCGGGGGTGGGGGTGGGGAGGCTGGTTATGGAGTGCAGAGCCAAGTCATAGGAGCAGAGAGAAAAACAGTGTGCATAGTACCATACAGTAAAGTTAACATTCGTGTCTTTGGGGAATGCCAGTTTCTTTCAGAATTCTTTACACAAAGTTGAATTTGTGTAATGTGAATTTACATAAAACAACTTTAAATAAAGTGAGAACTGTCTTTATGGAGTCACCATCTTCCCATAGGATGTTTTGATCTTGAAATTAGGATCATCAGTCTAGAATCACAAAGGACCATGGAATTCATTATCTTCCCCCCAAACTCTTCTTCTTCCAAATGTCACTATCCTACCACTTGCCCAAATTTACAACTTTGGTGTCATCCGTATCCCTCACCTCACATTTCCAGTCAGTCGCCAAATATTGATGATTTTTGCATCCACAATATCTGTTATAGATCTCCTTCTCACTACATCCACAGCCATCAGGCTTGTTCAGACCCTCATAACTTCTCTTCTTGATTGTTGTAATAGTTTCCAGCTTGTCTCCTTCCCTCAGATCCCTCCCTATCCCAGGACATCTTCTACTTAGTTAGCAAAGTGTATTTTCTGAGGCATAGGCCTGGCTATGTCAGATCCCTTTCTCCTCTTCCTTTCCCCCCTCCCATCCTTAGTAATCAACACTGTATCTTTATTACCTCGATGATTACAAATAAATTTCTATGGCATTTAAAGGTCTTCATAGTGTGCCCACATCCTGTCTTTGCAGTCTTTTTTTATATTACTCCCTTCCATTTTATCTCTGGTGCAGCCATAATGATCTTGCTGTTCTTCATCTGGATCATTCTCCCACCACTACCTATGCTGTCCCCTGTGTTGAAAGGCTGTCCCTTCTCACCTCCACCTCTTGGAATCTCTGCCTTCCTGTCAGACTCTTCAAGCACTTCCAGCATGAAGTGCTCCTGTCCTCCAAGCTGCCAGTGCCTTCCCTTCCAAAGCCACCTTGTATCAGCTCTGTGTGTGTTGTATACATGAACAACATGTCTCCTTTTTAAAACGAAGCTCTTTGAGATGTTTCATTTTGGTCTTTGTATCCCCTGCACTTAGCAATGTTCCTGCCACATAAGAGGCAGTTGAAAAATAATTGATTTTGAAGATGAACTCTGTCATCAACATATAAATGTTGTTCTCTTCTGTATGTACACAGGCAGTGGTAGAAGGGAGGCTACTAAAGATAAGTGACAGAGCAGAACCTTAACTCACAAGTCAGTCAGTAAACATTTGTTAGGGGCCTCCTTTGTACCAGGCACTGTGCTAAACACTGAGGTTACAAAAAGAGGCCCTGTAGGAGCTCACAGTCTAGTGAGGGAACCATTCAACATGTTAAAAAAACAAACTGTGCTACCATATCATTGACAAAAGCTTTTGAGTATTGTACCTAAATCCTATTTTCCCCATAAGCCCTGTGGTTTGGGGTTTTAGTAGAACTAACTAGTTAAATAAAAACTAAAGTCAAAAGTGCTTAGAGGAAAAAAAGTTTTTATTCAAATGGAAGAGGCAACAAGTATATATAAAGATATGCAACATAAATACAAATATATGGGAAGTAAAGATAAGATGATTTGGGGGAAGAGGGGTCTACAAAGGCTTCATGCAGAAGATGATGCTTGAACTGTGTGTCTTAAAGGAAGAGAGGAACTTTTAGGCCAAGATAAAGAGGGAGTTCAGTCCAGGCATGGGGAATGGCCAGAACAGAGGCATTAGAGACAAGAGATAGACTATCACAAATGAAGGCCAGAGAGGATGTTGCATTGTAGAGTGCAGGAAGACGATAATGTCCTTTGAGGGCGTAAAGATAGGATAAGTCTAGGTTATAAGGGGCTTTAAGAAGTAAACAGAGGAATTTCTGTCTTAATGCTAGAGGCACTTGAAAGCCATTGGAGTTGATTTAATGAGAGTCACATGATCAGATCAGTACTTAAAGGAAATTATTGTGACAGTAATGCTTACAGTAGATTGGAGTAATGAGAGATTTGAAGCAGAGAGACCATCCCAGGAGACTGTTGGAGTAATCTAGGTGAGAGGAGGTGAGGCCTTGAACTAAGATGGTAGTTGTGGGAGTGGAGACAAGGGATTCGATGTTGTCAAGGATGGATGTTATCAAGGTAGAAACAGCAATATTTGTCTTTCTCAGCTATTTTGAAGGAAAAATGAGCCCCTTTTCTTTAGCACTATCAGTTCTGACCCTATAATATTTTCCTTTTGTATGTATCCAAAACATTCCCAAAGATATTTTTTAAAAAGCTTGTATTCGGTGGTTTTGACAAATTCAAGGTGAATTTGTCTTTTATGATAATACTCTTTTCTGCTATAATACTTTCTGTTTTTGTGAATAGTATTTTTCCCCCAAGCATTTTTCAGTCAGTCAGGAAACAATAACTGCCTAATTTGTGCGAGGGACTGTGCTAATCACTGGAGATAAAGAAGCAAAATACAATCCCTGCCTTCAAGGAGCTTACAGTCCAAAAGAGAGACAGCATGCAAACAAATACATACTGAGGAAGCTATGTACAGAATAGATAGGAAATAATTAACCCGAGGAAAGGCACTAGAATTAAGAGGCCAAGGCTTCCTGTAGGAGGTGGGATTTTAGTTGGGACCTAAGGAAGCCAGGATAGTCAATAATTAGAGTGGAAAAGGAAGAGATTTCCAGGCATAGGGGACAGCCAGAGAAAATGCCTGGAACTGAGAGATGAAGTATCTTATTCCTGGAACAAGAAGAAGGCCATTGTTACTGGATAGAAGAGAATTTGGCAGGGAGTGAGTTATAAGAAGACTTGAAGGTAGGAGGAGGGGGCTAGGTTATGAAGTGCCGTTGAATGCTAGAGGACTTTGTATTTGATCCTGGAGGAAGGGATAGGGAGCTACTGGAGTTTATTGACAGGAGAGGAAGGTAATGACATAGTTTAACTTATGCTTTGGCATTTATAGAAGGGGCTAGAAATATTTACCTATTCTTACCTTGCAATATAAGTTTTCACTTCATCTCTGTCTCTTGTTTATTTCTTAGATGGCCAAGTGTGATGGTTGTAAGCGACAGGGTAAACTCAGTGAGTCCATGAAATGGCGAGGGGAGGTTAAACATTTTTGTAACCTGCTTTGTATATTGATGTTCTGTAATCAGCACAGTATATGTGACCCACCTACTCTTCAAAATAGTTCAGGTAATTGAACTTGGATATTAGCTCTGTTTCTTATGTATTTCACTTATTTGACTTATTTAATGAAATTAAATAATTACAAGTCTTGTTAAGTGCTTACTTTCATGAAACATGAGATTTAGTATGTAATTACATAGATTTCCATGTTGAACTAAAAATTACATAAGCCAGATTTTTAGGATTTTTTAGAATTAAATTACCATAAATGAATGTTCTTAAGTGTATTCATTAAGCTGAAAGGGTTGAAAAAGGTGTAAAACTGTATTGATATATACATGAATGTATATCCCCCAATGTCCTCCTCAGTTGTCTTTGAAAACCCTTTTTCTTGGCATTTGGAGTTTGCAGTTTTAAATAACCAGCCCTCAAAGTTCAAAATAAGTTATTTTACTTAAGGCAGACTTGCACAATTTGGGAACTTCTTTGGGCTGCAGATAGGTTAGACTAGAGATAGACTGACAATGGTTGGTTGCCACGGGTCACATGATAAACAGGATAGTGTGACGTGGCAACCTTACATTTTTCACTGGCCACCAGTGGTGGGCTTCAAGCAGTCCGTGGGCCATATGTTGTGCAGGCCTGACTTAAGGGGGAAAAATTGTCCTACCTAGAACTGAATATAGTTGGATGTTTATGGTATTTCCAGAAATAATGATTATTAAACTATGTCTTTGTGCCACTTAACATCAGGACTCCAATTTTGTTTTGTTTTGAGCAGTAAATGTTTCCATGATGTCAAGTGCTTCAGTTGCACCTCCTTCTCTAAGAAAAGATTCAACTCCAGTTATAGCCAATGTAGTATCTTTGGCAAGTACTCCTGCTGCCCAGCCCACGGTGAACTCTAACAATGTCTTGCAAGGTATGGATTGATTAAAGAAATCTGCGTAGTGTTTTGAGGTTGAAAATTATCAGCATAATTATTATAACATAGAATGCTATATTTGTCTCTGTTCAAAGATTTCCTTTTTGTTCACTGACTGAAAAAAGCATTTTCATTGTTTTGTTTTACTCTAGTGTAAAGACCTTAAATTTATATTCTTATTTCTAACAGGTGCTGTTCCTACTGTGACAGCAAAGATCATTGGAGATGTAAGTTTTATTTTTAATACTTTTACTGTTATTGCTGTTCCTATTTAAATATTAAATTTCTAAGGGGGCAGCTAGGTGGCGCAGTGGATAGAGCACCAGCCCTGAAGTCAGGAGGACCTGAGTTCAAATCTGGGTTCAGACTGAACACTGAACACTTACTAGCTGTGTGACCCTGGGCAAGTCACTTAGCCCTCATTGCCTAAAAATAAAAAAAAAATAAATAAATATTATTTCCACCTAGCTACTCAATATTTGAGCATATTCCCAATATGCTTTTTTTTCCCCTCTCATCAAAATTGACAAAATTTGTATTAAAATAGAAACAGACAAGCAACTAGTTAAAACAAATCTCTCCTGGTTAGATTTGTCTTCTAGGTATGTTATTCTTTTTTAATACTTCTAAGTTTATGCATGTTAATTTTGTTTTCATATTTACTGCAAAAAAAAAAGGCATTTTAAAGTTTAAAAGAGGATACAGTATATGCTTCCCCCTAGTGGAATTCATACTGCACATCACTGGTTCTTTGTGCTATGGTTAATGAAGTATTTTGAATTAACATGTTGAACTTAGTCCACAGAAGATTGGCACATCAGGCAATTCACTCATATATTGACCTATATTCTCTACATTTTTTAGAACTCTAATTATCTGTAGATTAAGCAGACCATATTCCTAATGTATTTGTGATAGGAAAAAAAAATCTACTTTAAGAATGCTTCCTTAGTTTCTTTCCAGTGACCTTCATGTTGCTTTCTTGTTATCTGGAAATGAAGCCAAATTCTTTAAGATTCATAGTATAAGCAAACACCAATCCTGGATTCTTGTTAATCCTTTATCTAAACTGATTAGAATGGGAGTATAGTGGGAGTTAATGTACAACAACCTAGGATAGCTTCTTTACTGCAAGCACTCTTGTTGGGCAGTTGTATTAATTCAGTAAAGGCCCTTATGACATAATGTGCCTTTTCATTCCAGCAGACTTTTAGCCCCTACAGTAGGTACTGAGACATTATAATGATGAAAAAGATATTTTTCTTTCCTTCAGAGAGCTTAAAGTGTCATCATATTGTTCAGATTTTAAAAACTAATTATTGTTGGTTAAAAATCCTAACAACTGTCAACAGTCATGATGTCTGCATCTATTTTAACTAGGCAAGTACTCAAACAGATGCCCTGAAACTTCCATCTACACAGCCTCCTCGGCTTTTAAAGAACAAAGCTTTATTGTGCAAACCCATCACACAGACCAAGGCTACTTCTTGCAAACCACATACGCAAAACAAAGAAAGTCAAACAGGTATGTATCCTTATTCTTCTCATTTGGAAGATTGTTTTCCCTCTATTTTTACTTTGAAAGGAAATGAAGGTGTTGAAAATTGTTTTAATTTCAAGAAATTACATTCATTATTTAATCCTCCATGTCAGATAACTCATTTTACTCTTCATAACTGCCCTACTTGTGTTTGAGTTGCTTCCATTGCATGAACAGACCAAGATAGTTTTTGAACACGTTCTAATAATGTGTTTAATCAGTAACATACGCATATTTCAATTTTAACATAGAAAGGTTAATAAAAACAAATTAGCAAGGCAGTTGTAAGAATTTTGTATCAAGCACCATTTTGGTTTGTATAAGATGGTTTAATGATTCAATTAAAATCAGTCTGATTTGACAGGAATCTTTTTATACATTTCCAGTAAATCTAATTGTGTTGGACATTCTCTATTAAGTACATCTATGTGCATGAATATTTAGCATTCATTCAAATGGATTCGTTGTTTTTATTTTTATATACATACATACACATAAACTGAATTGGTCACTTTGACATTTTAATAAATTCATTAGCAACTAAATTTTAAAGCTGGAAGAGACCTTGGAGATAGTTCCCTTATATTATTAATGCCTTGTGTTTTTATATCATAATAATTTTCTGGTCACTATGTTAACAAAAACATTTGACCAAAACCCAAGTGACGGAACTATTGCATTTGACGGTATATGTAGCATCTTGTATTCATAGGCAGCTTTCCTCACTCCACTCTACCTCCAGTTTCTGCTGAGAAAAGGGTTTTATCATCTTCAGGACAAGAATTGAGTATTGAATATGATCTGAATTTATTTGCATTTATGTTGCTTTGCTATTGTAGTCATTGTGTATTTTGTTCTTCTGGCTCTACTGTCTTTGTCTTGCCTCTAGTTCATTCAAGTCTCCCCATATTTTTCTGAGTGAACTCTTCATTTTTGTCATTTCCTATGACATCATAGTTTTCCATTGCATTTATTTGTCACATTTTGTTCAGGCATTCACCAGTCAGCAGCTATTGATTTTCCAGTTTCTTGCTGCCGCAAGAAGTGCTGCTTCCAATATTTTGGTATATGTGGGCACTTTATTTCCATATATGGCCATTGGGATGGCTGGATTAAGTATCCTGAGTGACGTTTCTTACATAGATCTAAATTGTTTTCTAAAATGGTTTGACCAGCTCATAGCTTAATCAACAGTGTATTATCATTAGTGTTACTTTCTTGACCCAGCCCCTCTAACACTTGACTGTTTTCATCTTTGCCAATTTGATGGATGTGAGGTAAAACATTTTTTCATATGGTTATTGATAGTTTGTGTTATTTTTGAGAACGGCTTATTTATAACCTTTGTCCACTTGCCTCTTAAGCAGTGGCTCTAGGTCTTGTATAATTATGATTTCCTATCAGTCTTGCACATCAGATTTTTGTCAGAGATATTTAATATAAAAATTTGTTCTCAATATTTTTTTGTTCTAGCTCATTATTTTTAATAGATTTAAAGTGATATTGTTTTTTTCACCTAGATATGTCCTTCTATCCTTCCCCATTCTTATAGATTGTTTAAAAAAAAAAGAATGAAAGGAAAAAGGGGGAGGGGATCAGCAAATCAGATCAATACATCAAAAAGTCTAATGACTTCATGCTTCTGCAAAGGGGCAAGAAAACTTACCTTCTCATATCTCTTCTTTGGAGCCAAATTTGTTCTTTACAGTTTTTCAGTTGTAGTCATTGTATGTATTGTTTTCCTGACTTGGGTGACTTCCTTCACTTTGCATCAGTGAGTGTGAGTCTTTCCATGGTTCTTTGTATTCGCTCGCCATTTTCTTTGTTTCTTACAGCATAGTCATGTTCCATTATATTCATGAACCACAATGTATGTAGCCGTTCTACAATCAGTGATCACTTTACGGCTCAGCAGTGGAATCTCTGAGCCAGAGGGTATTGGCATGTTAGCTTCATTGTTTACATAATTCCAGATTGCTCCCCAGGATGGTTGTGTTGATTCACTTCTCTACAGACAATGCTGTACAGTATTTGTCTTTGCACAGTCTCTCTACCTTCGCTATTCATGGTAGATAGACAAAACCCAGAAGCAGCAATCCAAGATGGGTGGCTCCAGTATTGAATAAACCCAAGAATACAAACTCTCAACAAAGAACTGTTTGGAAAGACTGGAAGGCAGCGTGACTGAAAATAGATCTAGAAGAGTGTGTTGTACTATCTGTTAGCCTAAGGTTCAGTAAATACACATTCTAATGTAAAAACATCACATCCTAATGGAATTAGAGAACAGGAGGAGGTACTGTAGCTAAGTTATTGTTGGCGTAGAATTCTTAACAATACATGCAATAACAGTGATCATAAAATTGGTATTTTTCATTACATGAAAGACCTCACACTTTACAGTTGAAGAAGCTGAGGGAAGGAAAAGTTAAATGACTTCTAGTCATGTAGGTAGTTTTTGGACTATCTCATTGCCACTTCAAATTTAACATGGTTTGAAAACAAATCTTCCTTTCCTTGAAAATAAAAACTTTGCCTCCCAACTTTCTTGTTTCTGTAAATGGAGCTATCGCTCTCAAGCACAACCCTTAAATTACCTTTGATTTGCCTTAACATTTTTATCCAGTCAGTCATCAAGTATTATGTTTCTTTTTCAAATATCTCATAATCATTTCTTTCTTGTTCATTCTTCCTGTCATTGTCTACATCTAGGCAATGATCACCTTATGCACAGATTATTATAATGGTTTACTAATACTAGTTTCCCAGCCTCTGGTTTCTACCTCCTGCAGCCCATATTTCACAGGGCTACCAAGTTAATGTGTTCATTAAATAAACTTTGCAGCTCAGAAGCCTTCATTGTGTTTCCATATGCTGTTTGGTTTCTTTCTTAGTATATTTGTCCCTCCTGAAATGGCTTTTGCTGTCCTTTCCACTTTACTAAATCATAGGTCATTCTTCAGAGACCAGTCTCTCTGTTCCATGAAATTTCTCCCAACTGTTTAAGGCCACATTGGTCTCTACCTTTTTATAACTTGTATAGTTTTTGACATATCTTCTTTTGGTAGGGGGCGGAAAGGAATTTCATTTATTTTGTTGATTCATTGATATTTTTTATTTTGATGCAATACACTTCCAAACAAAAGCAATGTACATCTCCTTTAAAAAAACAAAAAGGGTGGATTATTTTACTGTTTACAGAAAGGATCATGGACTCATAAAATCTAGAGCTGGAGGGTTTCTAATCCAAGTCTCTTATTTTAGAGCTGAAGTTAGGTGACGTTCCCTAGTTCATACAAATAGTATATAACAAAAAGATAAGTCCTTTAACTTGACAGTATAATACTAACATCTGTTATTATATTTGTCCACAGTTTTGTTGCATTATTTCTTTTGGAGTCATTGGGTATACTGTTCCTTTGTCTCTGCTTTCTTTTTTGTTTCACTTCATACGGGTTCTCTTACATTTCACTGAATTCTTCGTATTCACATTTGTTTTATTTTACATTCGTGTATCTTTTATTTTGTACACTGTACATAATTCATCCATTCCTCAGTTTTTAAATGCTTTGTTTCTAGCTTTTTTCCCCCACAGTACTTTTTATGAATATTTTTGTAAGTAAGAATCTCTTTTGCTACCAATTACCTTTGTTTAGATACAGTCTCAGTAGTGCAACCTATGCATTAAAGAGTTTGAATAATTTAAGAACTTTTCTTGAACTATTCCATTTATTTTCCAGAATAGATAAACCAGTTCTTATCTCTGCCAGCAGTGAATTAGTGCTTCTGTTTTCTTACAGCCCTTCCAGCAATGAGTTTTCCCATTTTTTTAAAGCATCCTATACAGTGTTTGGGTGGGGAGGATAATGTAAGACAACAGCAACTGAACTTTACCTCCACAAACTCATGTTTCAGTGCTTCCTCGTGATATGAAGTTGACTCTGGGTTCTCAAAAGCTATCAGTGGAGTACAAGTTCTATCAGGTCTTGCCATGATGGAAAAGCTTTGAATATAGTTCTGGCAACAGTGTGTCCATTTCCTAAGACTAATCTCCTAACTACAGAGGAGATCGTTACTCATAGACTGTCCACTTGATGATAAATCTTATGCCATGGTAGGTATTGGTTGTGGAGCTGAAATGGTAGGTGCTAAGAATCACAGTTTATAGGTTGTCTATAAACATTAGCTTACTTGTCAGATCATTGCCAGAGACTGATGAGTGGACATACTACTGTAGGAACTAAATCAAATCAGTCCTGTCATTTCTTCATAAATGAAATAGAAAACAAAAGAACATTTCAGAAGTTGTCTGATAGGTTGTTTTTGGAGAGGTGAATAAAGGAGTTGGCTGAATTGGTTTTATTGTTCAGTGAGAAGCAACAAAAAACATCATTTCATGTGACAGCTAACCATCTCAAATGGCAGTGTTTGTCATAATTTATTTGCAACAAAATCCTCCATGAAATAATTCCTCGCCATACTAACTTTTGCTGAAGAGGCACAGAAATTCCTTATAGTGTTCAACATTATCCTTCAGATTAAATCAAGATTTATTTCATGCATTGGCTTCAGTGCAGATAGGGGCATAGATGGCGACAGTGGAAAATATGTTGGAACATGTGGTTTTGGAGTAAGGTATGAGGCAGCCCAAAGACTTGTAGGACAAATCTTATGATTTTTTTTTGAGATAAAAGGCATTTAACATGACAAGCACCAAGTATCACAAAAAAATGAAACTGTATTAGAACAAAGTTTAATATTAATATAAAGCTAGAAGAGAAATGAGAAGAAAAATAGGACACTTTATATAAGTTATTGGTTCTGAAAAATGAAATACATGTGGAATAAAAGATGTTGCCAAGAATTATAATAATTTCATAAGAAATTTAACTGACGTACATCAGTTGCTATAGTGAGTCAAATCAGCAAGCATTTATTAAGCACATAGTATGTGCTGGGTACTATTCTAAACACTAGGGATACAA